AAAAAAAAAATTAAATCACTTAGTGGCCAAATTCCAGTTACAGTTACAGTCCCTTAATAAAATTACATCTTAATGAAATTGACCTACTTATACATTAATACTACTGTACCTAAAATATAACATAGATGGAAACATATTCTTTGTCATTTTATCTGCAATTTGCAATATTGATTTTAACCCCGGATCAGACCTCGATCTAACTAAGTGCACTGAGAATCCAAAAATGTTGACCTCCAGACCAAATGTGTTCTTTATTGCAGGCGCAAGCAGACCGCCTCGCATTTGGGTGACGGATGTGAGCCCAGTCTCAGTTCGCACTGGGTCAAGGAGCAATTCTGCCACATGCAACTTTATTGCCCTGAAAGCTATAGCAGAGTGCTCACCGAGAAAAAGTGATGCCTCCTCATTCTCAGTGGTGCCAAGAACCACTGGGGTATTGGTCCTGTGAAGTAAGAATGAAAAAACAAAACCAACCAAACAAACCCTACCACAGAAGTCAGGGTGCTAGTTTACAAACAAATAAACAAACAAAAAAGTATTCTTCATACCAATGAAAGCTGAGGGGGCAAGAGTGTCTTAACGCTCTTTTAAAACATGCTGAAGCACTCCACCTCCCATCACAACATTCTCTTACCCTGATTTAGACATTCTTGAAAGGTTCATTCATTGCAAGCAGAAGCATAAGGTAATTCTACAGATTCATAATGCTGATCCTCCCTATAGTGAATGAAACCTGCATCTCCAACAGCTGCTTAGATGCCCGTTTCCCTCTGGTTTTACTGGGCACATAAATGCCTTTGAACCAATTCAATGCTTCACCACCCCTCTTCCTCCCAGTAACTGGAAGTAACCAAAGGTAACGCTGTCTCCCAGTTTCAAAGAAGGAAGCACTCAAAAACACCGAGTCATTTCAAATTGCACGCAGTTACCTAAATAATTCTGAGGTCTTGGGCTTCTGGGACAACCTTAGGAACATGGATGTGGGTAAGCCCCATACAGCATTATAGGCTTGCTACCTGTAGCAAAAGAGATTTTAAAAAGAAACTTCATCACAAAACCAGGAATTTATTAAAAGGAAACATGTGGTTCCAATCCTCCTACTGAGGAGAGGAGACGGGTTCACTAATTCTCCTTTACATCTTTCAAAAAAATCTCTCTTAGGAATGACCAGACTTTTTATGACTGAATTACTCCGTCCTTAAGGAGAGGAGTCCACATCTAAACCTTGGAGCAAATCAAATCTAGTGGACCTTTTTAATCCAAGATAGTCTCTCTACATGACTGGAAAGACAGACTCTCTTTAGGCTGATCTTCTACTTACTCTCATAAGCACTTCTGAATGCTCATCCAGTCTTCCTTCTTGAAGAAAGGAGCAGTACTGTCTCAGTACTCTCAGTGTAGTCTCACGCACTGTATGTTATTTTACATGAAATGGTTAAAATGAAATAGCAGATAGAAAAGAAAATAGGAAGCAGAGTCAGGTGTTCTGTGGTTCTATTATCTCCATCCTTAAAAAAGGAAATTCATAGGAAAAGTCTAAAATGTAGTCAAATTCACACTTACTAGTGGCTCAACTGATTTACTGGAAAGGAAACAGCATGGCATATGAGGAACCAGGTTAAGGCTGTTTGCTGAACTGCCCATAATTCCAAATTGTAAAGAAAAATACAAAACATTATGACTGCAGCAAACTTCAGAGCATTACCCAACTCACTTGACAACTGCAGAGGGTGCATTTACACAGAAGACATGAAATTAATTCACTGGATGTCCCTAGACTCTACTGCATGGCAGAACACTTTGCAGAAACTTCCCAAATGCCAGACATGAAAGAGCACAATCATTTTTGACTTAGCATATGACCTTTGATCATTTTCCCCTTGGCCCATTATTTCTGCGTTCTGTTTACCTGCACATTACAGCCTTGCATAGAACTACCATGGGTTAAGTGAGTTCAGGTGCTGGAAGTAGCTCAGTGCTCATTATGGATGTGAGGGCTTTGCTTTGGGTGTCTGATCTCAGGAGATGGTGCTAGAAAAGGAAACCGCTTTATATTTCCCCCTACAAAAGACAGTGAGAATACAGAATCCTAAACACTTCAGCTATCCTTGTACGCCCCAGTAAGTCTTCCGGATAAGATTCTGGAATAAAGACTTCAAGTTTCCATTCAGGAAATGATTTTAAAACATTGAAGAAAGATGGAGAATACTACATAAGAATAAGAAGGTAAAAAGGAAAAGATAGCAAAAAGTTATGACCATCACAGCAATTTCCCCTGTTTGGTAATTGTTCATTACATGCCAAAGTATTGCCTTTGTTTTTAAACAGTATGACACAGTGGTTCTTGGGAATGTACCCTTCAAGACTATGATACAAATTTTTAATTATTTTAAAATATTAGTGAATTCTTATCTTTAATCACAAAATAGACTCATCCCCGAAATAAGCGAAAAAATGCCACAAAAGGCCAAAGGAGATGGTCTAACTAGCAAAACACAACATTCTGACAAGGTGACAACCAAGAGCATTTGAGGAGATCTGCACCAACTATATGAGCAGTCCTAAACAACCCACCGCATATTTTTTCCAAAAAGCAGCCAATAAAAGAAAAATTGCATTCCTACCAGTGCACAGAAGCAAGAAAATCTTCTCTCCTGTTTTAATAAAAGTATTTACAGATGAGAAAGCTCCAACCAGAAAGGCTACATTTTGATAGAAACCAAGGAAAGGTCTCCTGTAAATAGCTCCAAAACACATGTGCTTTATCACCTTGCCCCAGCAGCTTCTCTGAAAAACCCCAGATCTACAGGGAAAGATCTTTAAAATATTAAACACAGTCTGTGAGAGAAGGCAGCAAAAAAATACACTGCAATGTACTTCAGCTATTTCAGGAACATATATTGTGTGTGCCTTTCAGATCAGCATAATGGTAGCCTTACATACAACATGCCAATCTTGCGTGAGATATTGAAGTCCTCCTTTTCCTCAACACCATACAGAAGAAAAGAGTTGTTGCACGCAGTAAAGTAGAAGTATGTGTACCTCAGTATCATTTTATATTCGCAGCAAGTATCGCTTTAAATTATTTTTCTAACATGATAGATCGTTTCTTTTTACATCTGTTTATCTGTCCTTAGCCTGAGAGTCTTGTAAGGCACAGACAGGAGCTTTTTGGAAAGCGTCCAACCGTCCCCATCGAAATAATGACTTTTGCTTAATGAGAATTAATTCAATTACAACAAAGCACAGCAAACAACAGAGATGCTCTGGCTTGATTTTACAGAGATGTGCTGTAGCGAAACTCTGAAGTAAATGATAACGCCAAAGGAAAAATTCTTCACTGTTGTCAAACTGTTCGGAAAGCGTTAACATGGTTCATTCATTTTCAGCTGCAATACCATGTTGAAAACATAGTTTTGCTGGTCTGCAGTTGATTGATGTACATTACTCATATCAAGCTAATGGCACTTTATTTTCCAACAGTAGCAGGTAATGAGTGACCTTGAGTGCATATTGTTTTGCTGAAAGGTTTTGTTGCTCCGTGTACTCTATGAGCACCCCCAAGGAAATGAGGGCCCTGTATTGGTGTTTTTCAGCAAACCTCATTTCTTTCATGGCTTTCTGTAAAAGAATTTGATACAGGGATAGAAGCTAACCTCAGTGAGTAAATGAAATATTGATCCACGCTACTCTGGCCTTGCCTTCACCTTGTCCCAGGGCTGTGAGTTACTGACTTTTCCGTTTTGGCTGTAATAGGAATTATTACAACAGGCCTGTGCGAGTAATTACTTGGCATGGCAAAAAGGAGGGTCCATCATATATTTCTGTAGAGACGTTAGTTTCCATCAGCCCAGCAGTCTGCTTTTTTGGCCCTGTCTTTCCTACTCTTGATTCAATTCTTTTAACCATCATTAATCAAGTTCCTTGTCAGTAGAAGTTTATCAAAAGTATTAAGTGAGCAAGGTTGCATGGCCTCCTAAAAAAAAAAAAAAAAAAAAAAAAAAAGGAAAGGAAAAAAAAAAGCTAAGAAAAAGAAGCACCAATGCAGGGCAGTAAATTTCAAAATATGGAAGGCTGGCTCCGTGATATATACGAGTGTCTCTTCAGCTGGAATGAGCAGTTTGTTTTTGTGATAGATATTGTAGTTTGAGCCGTGATAGAATCCTTCTCAAGTTTATATGTCATAGACTATCGTTTATGAGAGACCATGTGTTTCTAAATGGTGAAGGTCATGGCTGATGGCAAAAGTAAAAGCAGTGGTGATTCATTAAAAATAGTTAATAGGGCCTGCTGTTGACAGGGATAAATAGCAACACGCTGATTTTTCAACCCACAAGCAACTAGTTCAGGCAATGTTTCTTCTGTGTTTTCCACCGCTCCTGATTGCCAGACAGCTGTGAACATACATAGAGACATAAGCAAGATTGCTTCCCCTCTGTTAATAATAGATGCAGGATGGGTTTCCAGTGTGAATGACATTCCTAGATACAGATTTTCCAATCGGCAGCTTGGGCAGACTGACTAAACATTCACTTCACAGTGATTTGTTAGCTAATAATCAAGTTCAGGCTGTACGGTGAGCTCTTAGGGACGAAACACATTAGCTAACGGTACTGCTGGGATCCCAGCCTCCGGTTTCAACAGCAACCAAAGCCCTGGTAGAGCCTAACATCCTTGGAAGCATTGGAGGCATAAAGGATGCTGAGATGGGACCTCACAGCACTGGCACGGCTCAAACATTAATCATCTTTATTGTATGCTTGATCAGAAAACTCTAGCTTCCTTAAGCTATTTTTGTTTTCTTTAGAAAAGGTCTTAAAATGCAGTTACAAATAAAAGAGGGGTTGTGGTGGTGCTGTTCTTTAAAAAAAAAAAATTAAAAAAATCATTTTTTAAAACAGAGACATCATTAAAATGAAGTTTTAGTCCACTTATCAAAATTTACAAATATAGTTTGCCAAACTGATTTGGGACTGTGTTTGAAAAAAAGTTTGGTAAGTGTTCACATATGGGTGGTTTTATTTTTGTTTGTTTTTTAATGCAGAAGGCTTTACTACTACTATATAGTCATTATTAATACTGAGGGGAAAACAAAACCAAAACCAAAAAAAGGCAGAGCAATGCTTCATAGCTTCCCAAGAAAACACCAACACCTTGAGTCTTCTGGGGTTCTTTCTTGAGTCTTTTTGGTGGAGAAACCTGACAAAACTCCACCTTTCGCTTTACCAGATATAGGATCAGATTATCATTAGTCTAAACTGGTGCAATCGCTCTGAAGCCAATGAACTGGTTGCTCAAATGAAATGACAGTTTCCTGGCCCTTTAGCTTCTGTCAAACACACAAGCTTCAGCCCTGACATATTCTCAGCCTGAACAGTGCAGAGGCAGACCCCATCTCTCTCATCAGCTCCACTGCAGCAATTTTATACTGCACTAAGGTTTGGTGTATTCATTTTCAGTGACTGATCAGACAGAATGGAAAGCTGGAGAAAGAGATCATTTTATTTCTGATTCTTTTGTTAACTGAATGTTTTGCTCTGTGTCTCGTGACATTGCTCTTGCTCTACCCTTTCTACCTAGCTGACGTCCCAGCTAACGTGAGCACAGAGGCTAGGGAGGTTGGGGTGTGTGTGTCTCCTTCATTTTAAGAAAAAAAAAAAAAAACAATGTTTATCATTCAGCTCAAGTAGTTTCCTCCATGATCTCTGTCTCAACTATTTAGAGAGATCCAATCCTTATTTGATTTTGAAGCACTATCAAAATGAGTATGATTAACGACTTCCCTAGGAGTTGATCGTGCTCTGCTTGACTGGTTGAATACTGGAACACTAACAGAAAGAAGAAAAAAAAAGGAAAAAATTTACCGGATAATTAAAAATAGTAACAAAGAGAGCAAGAGAAAGAGTGAATCCATTAAGGCTTGGTTAATTCTGCCATCTCCAGTCCTTTGTTCTTCCTATGATACATATGCTTTGCAGCTGCCCAGATCAGAACTGAAATCCCATAATTACTGACACTCCCTCACTTTCTTCCCCTCATTTTATTGTAGGGAAGAAAAAAAAATTTGATTTTTCCCTACTTGCTAGCTTAAGAGAAATGCTTTTTTAGGCACATTGGGAGAGAGGTTATCATCTTGACAGAACAGACCTTTCTTAAATGTAGTTTCATCTCAAATGATTTTACTTTTTTAGGCATTGATCAAATGCTGCTTCCCTTGGGCCTATCACCTCTGGAAACAACACCAGCCTCTAAGTGAAATAGGCAGACAGTGAAAAATATTTAATTACTAAGCAGAAAGGTAAATGAGATAGCCGTGGCGATGATTTTAATGCTTATATTTTGATACTTCTATAAAAGGATCAGCTACCCTAATATAGCCATCTTGAGAAAGACAGGCTGCAGTGGTTACAAATTGACTTTTTATGGAGAAAATAAGACTGTTCCTAACCTATTGCACCGATATTATATTTTGTTAATATTTTATGAAATAAAAGTCCTCCCATTAAGAGTGGCAAATTGCTTTATAATTATAGCACTTCGCACACTAGAATGACTACTTCGTTTTATGGAAAAAAGCTCAAAATACAATTTCATTATCATCCAGTGTCTTTCATCCTCCTAAAGGTTTCAGCAGAAAGCTGTTATATGCGCCTCAGATCTCTCCTTCTCCAAATATTAGCTCATTTAAAAAGAAAAAAGAAAATTGTGGCTTCCACTCCACGCTGCTCCATGCTAATGAACTAGTTGTGTACAGCGCACATAGATCAAGATGAATCAAGTGAGCAACCATAAAATATGGACCCTGTAACTTCTGCATCTACTGGCTGATTTATAGAGGATGAGCACTGAGTTAACTCAGGTGGTTTAGAAACAGATTTAGTTAAACCTGTGCAACTTCCTGGTGCAGTCCCTCTTAAATCAGGTTAAGAGAACCTTAAATTGATTTAGTTTGATGTGGTTTATAGACCTGAATTGGTTTCTAAACCAATTTAGTTAAAATTGTTATTCAAGTTGTATTCAGACTGCCTCCAAGCTGACCACACCGATCCAAGTCTGAATCTGTCCACTTCTGCAGTTTCCAGATGAGACCCAAGTTGCAGCCCTGAAGATTTTTCATCTTTCTTCTTTGAACGTTTTGGTACAGCCATGAAATTTTTCTCCTGGAAATCATCAGTAGTCTGGCTCATGTATCGCCGTCTTCTCTTCTACCTGCATGCAGCAGTGACAGTTTTGGTGCTTAGGATTGCAAGCTCAAAGGTTATTTGATTTCCAGTGAAAGGCTTTGTCTGTCTGCCAGCAGATCATCACTGCAACACTATCAATAGTACACTACCCATGTTACAAATGAGATCTTAGCTGACTCTTGTTACTGAAAATGTTGTCGCTAAAATATTCCAATTTTAGAGGCACTCATTTAAACATAACCTAATTAGTCAAGGTGCAGAAAGAGCTATCAAACAAACAAACAACAAATAAAAAAATATCTTTCCCTCAACTGCAAGGACTTTGTGGAATGCTGTCTGGAGATGACACTAACCCCATCCTCAGAAAACAACACTAAAACAGAAAATCACCAAAAACTCATCCCCAAAGTGAGGTACTTTCAGCTGGCCTCCTGAACAGCAAGGAAGTCTGAAATTTAGCCCTTGGGTGCTAAAATATGAATCAGTTTAAATATCAAAGTTCAGACAACAAACTGGTTGTCCACACATAAGCACAAGTCCTAAGAACCAGAAAAGGATCAAACCCCAGTAATTCTTCAGTACAGTGAACTCCTTCCAAGCACTATATCATATTTAAATCCTACTATATATTTAGCTTTTTGTCTGTAAGCATAGAGGAGAGCAATCTGGTTTTACCTTTTTACACTTCTCTCTCCTCTTTGTTCCAATTACTGCCATGGCATCTCGTCCTACTGTTTGTTTTCCAGGTTAAGTGTCTCACCAAAGTAGCTCAGCGCCTGGCGAAGGAGCAGGATGCACTTGCTGCATCTGCAGGACGGCTGCCATTTCCTCAGTATGGGGAGCATTGTCCATTCACCATGTACGTTTGATGTAATCTGGTATTTATGTGCCAAGAAGATGCAAAGACAAGTTGCCTGTAACTCTTCTACTACAATCGTGTGTTATGAATTTCAGCCCTTCAAAGCTAGCTCATCGCACAGAAATACTTGGTTTGTCTAAAAAGGCAAAACCTCTTTGTGGCACAACTTGTAAGGCCAGAGACTCTGAAGAAAACATGTCATTATTTCTGCTATGAAAATTGGTCTACCTAATGGATTTTCATTAAAATATATTTCTGAGTTTAAAAAAAAAAGGAAAGCAACAGAACTCAAAACTGGACTAAGTACATGAAAAACTAGGTACACCTTTCTACTCTCTCTGCTCCTCTCTACAGATAAAATGTAGTGGGGGCTTTCTTTCAAAATGAATAACCAATATATTGCTCACTTAGGATTTTACGAGGCTATTCTTCCATGATAGAGATTTTATTATTAAATATTCACCCAGAGGCACAAGTAAAAAATATTCTAGGGTGAAAGTATTTGTGTCCTGATTTTTGTCTGACATAGTTTGGCATGATGCTGTCAGTCTCTGTTGTACGGGACCCTCAGCAGACACATGAGGGGTGTTGACAGGGCAACCAAGACACAGCCAGCAGATAAAGCAAGGCCAGCATGCAGACATTTGAATGAAGCTTGCCCTTCCATGTGCTTGAAGTGAATTATGCAAGGTCTTATTTGTTTTAAAGTTTACTACCTTCACAGACAGGTTCCAGTGGAGCTTTTTTTTTTTTTTTGGATATTTACTAGAGCTTCAGGATTCCTCCCTAGTGAGCATTGAAGACATATTAATGAAGGAAGATGTCCTTACCCTCTCAACTATTATATTAGAATCTGACCTGAAGATTAATTACTATTTTGGTCTAAACAGCCCTCTGTGTGAAACATTTCCACGTGCTTCATTCACTGTTGCTTTCAAAGACTGGACCACAAGTGCCTTGAGACTTCAGTAGGACTTTGCTACGCTGCGGAGGAGAAGAAGGGTTTGACACACTGTGGTAGCCGTTGAGAAGCAAAGGGGGCAGTGGTGGTTACTAGGTCTTGTACCTAACCTCGGGGCTGACTTCACTGAAACATGAGCCTGGACCTTTCCCCTGTTCCCAAGCGCTATTACACAGTGCAAGTTTTACACATAAGGACCCCTCAATTATTTCTGCACTGGCTCTGTACCAATACAAGCACTGGCAAAAATTCAGAATGTTTCCCAAGGGAATTACTAATTGTGTAAGTGTTCTGAGATACACAACAATTATTCACTGATTGGTATTACCTTCTCAGGCTTTTACCGGCCAAGATAACATTACAAAAGTCTTCGGAATATCTTGACCTATCTTAAACAAAAAAAAAAAATAAAATCACACATACCCACAGCAGCCAACTGTCAGAAGCAGGTTAAGCAATCAGTCAGACATTTTGCGCTTTGCCTTTCTCTTTTGTGGCTTTGAACATCTATATATATATGTGGAAATGAAAGTACCTTTGCAGGCAGTTGCAGGCAGCTCTGACGGTGTGCAGTGCGGCGTGGATAACTCACATGGCTCGGGACCAGCATAGCTCATCTGGCATCCACCTAGGAGGGATCAGTTGATGTTGCCTTTTTTTTTTTTCTTTTATAATTCCAATGACATAGCTTTTGCCACTATAACCAAGAAGGCGATACAAATGTTGGGCTGCATCTCCATAGAGGTTTCCCAGTTCCTCGGGATGGCACAGGGCTGCAACACGCTCTACCCAAACAGCTCTACCCTGAGCCTCCAGTTTCCAGCAGCGCAAGGAACTGGAGCAGCTCATGCCACTGAACTCACCGAAGGCTCGCTTCACTCTTACGTTCGGCTTTACTTACACCCCATTACAAGAAATTTCTTGTAAGGCACCTCTTTAAGGATTATTTTGTAGAAAGACGATATACATACAACCACCACACTCCAAAGTAAGTATTTGCACTTTTTGCTAGCTAACAATGCATCAGACCCTGCAGGGTTTTTCTCCCCCTCCTGTTTCCTGCTCTCATTAAAATATTTTTTAATGAAAATGTCATTGACATGTCACATCATTTCACCCAGAGTCAACTCTCAGATGCTCATTACGCTTATTCTTGAGACAAATGTTGGACTAAGAACAAAAAATATTTTTCCCCTTAGGAAAACTAAAATAGTATCAAAAAATAAAATATGAACCACCTCATCAGCAAAATTCATTCATTTCAAGACATTGTTTCAAGTGTTTCAATTAATTAAATATCCTAAAATTGCAAAATTCATTAATTGCGTTATTTTTTTCAGGATACATACTTATTAAGCAAAGGGTGGTTTGTTTTTTTTTTTTCAGATAAACAGAACAAGATCACAGAATTCTAAAAGCAAAGTGCTAGGAAAGAGAAAATTTGATTAATCAGATGCAGAAAAATGTAGATTCACAGAACAAAAATTCATGGAAGAAATCAAAGGCCTGTAAATCTAATGCTGATACCCACTGCTCCCAACCTGACTGGTTAATTAATATTTTTTAAATCATCATCACTCCTAAAACGAATCTCCACAGCAATTATTAAATTCTAGATGAAATTATTAGCACACATCCATACATATTCTTTCTGATCAAAAGAGTCATGCAACATGGGATTGGGCAAAGCATGAAAGGGCAAATACCAGAAGCAGGTTGAATTCCTGGAACACAGGATCCAAATTGCATCAGCTAGAGAGAAACCAACTGAGCCTTGAAATAAAAATGTAACTTGCTTTTTTTACAAACAAGGATGCTTTACAGCAAAAGTTATTTACAAAAATACCTAAAATGTTTCAGGGTGGCCCTGCCAGTTTAAGAAAACGTAATTGTGGCAGTAAGAGCTGCAGGCTGTGTGGGTGATCGGAATCATTGTTCAGTGACAAAACACCAGTACCATCAGTGGGCAAGTTTGTTAGGGCTCGGTACAGACCAACTTTTATTTTAATGTGTACATTCTATGGGTGTGCACATGTGGTTTTAACTCATGCAAAATTAATAATAAGCTGGAAGAAACTTGCACAATTTGAGACAATTTTCCTCACCTTATTTTTAAATTACCTACGTTTATAAATACCTTTGACTTAAAAAGCACAGTATAATCAAATTTTTCTCTGGGTTCACTCTTCAGGATTGCAGTCCTGGATCCTGTCCTAACATGCAGACTTTCAGAGAAACACTGTTAATCTTTTTACTTATTTTGTCAGGAGCTCATTTCTGACATGTGCCTGGTGGGAAATAAGGAGCAAGGTAAAAAAAGAAACAAACAAACAAAAAAAAACCACAACTTTTTTCTGCCAGTGATACAGCAAGAAAAAAAAAAATCAAACACTTCCATTTAATGGGAAGGTTATTTAAACTACTGCCTTATGTACATTATTCTGTAGGAAAACAGTCAGATACAGTTTGGGGGTCATGCTGTGTCTCAAACCAAAATAAAAGCATAGGTGATTCTGAAACAGAAACTTCACTTCAGATTCCATTTTTTCCTGATCCACGAAGCCCATTTTTTCCCCTGGTGTTTTCATTTAAGCCAAGTAATTAGTGTTTTATGAGAGATCCTAACAGTAAAACTAAAGCTCCATCTGTGACTGTTTATACAAATTACATATCTCACCCTATATTACTACTGGTTCAAAAGAGAAAGCCATACCCTATGTATTGCCTATTCCTATGTTTTTTTTTTTGGTATGATACTTTTGCAAACCATATTTTGTTTACAGACTAAAAAAGAGAGCGATTCCAAAAGTAGTTGTAAATTACCACCAAAATTAGTATAATACAGTAACCTTCATGACCAGTTTGTCCTAACACATTTATATACCAAGTTCTCAGGCTCTCCCTTGCAACCTTCTTAAGTACAGGTAAATAATATTTTTATGCCATGAAAGAGGTGGCGTGCTTATAGAAAAAGACAAAAGGAAACCCTTTTCCCTTCTGTAACAGTTTTCTGAAGCTCGATTTTGAACCACTGGGGAAAACAGAAAATAAACTGGGAAGTGAAATATTGCTGCCTTGCAACAAAGCAAACAATTTTAGAAGCTTCCAATTCAATGGCAAAAATGCAAGTCAGCACAGAAGATCCGAATGAGGATGAAGTCTCCCAGCCCTCAGGCCCTGCTGGCAGGGCTGGCACAAGCAGCTTTCCTTCTCACCCCCCCCAAGCAGCACGCCTCATTGTCTTCTCACTTGTCTGCAAGGCTGATTTTAACCAGCGTGGGCTCCCATTGAAGGCCAGCGCCACAGCAAGCTGGGCGAGCACGAGGAGACAGAAATGACTGGCCAGGCTGGAAACTGCTGAAATCAGCCCAACCACCCAGAGCAATGAATTGAAAAATGGCATCCCTGAGGTTTTCAGATTGTTACATGTATAATAAAGAGCTTGAGTGGTGCTATTGCACTTTTCAGATGACATGAGTAAGCTAACTTCTAAAAGTTGTGCTATACTTAGAGCCAAACTCAAGTTTAAACTGTTACGATGATGCAGAAATACAGCTAGAGCTCCATAGAGCAGAGTTTAGCTCATCATTTTAAAGCGCAGATAGAAAGCCAAAGTGTTGTCAATTCATAATGTTTTCTTGTTAACTATATCCTAACTAATGCCAGTGTGGCAGACAGCTCCATTCCCAAGAATTTGCTTCATATCTGCTTGAGCATGTCTACTAGCATCTTACCACCAAGTCCGGTAGCTCCAGAAACAAAGCAACCCCTTCCCAAAGCCACCCTATATCACTATTGATGATTTCAGTATTTATGCTTCCTCTGACACAGAGTATGTTTGCTTGGTAGCAGAGAAAGAGGCAGCTTTGTTTTAAATCAGGAGCACGTTTGTCACAGCTCAGTAAATAATGTATGCTTTCTAAAATAAGCTATACCTAGCCATCCTCTCCAGAGAGCTTTAAGGGAGTAAACAGAATCTCAGTTTAAAAATGCAAACAGCCACTATATGTATTCCCCCATTGGTCCCATCCCCATTTTGGCTGTTATGGGGCCACCAGACTTCCCAGAACACTCCCTGTCCAGAAGCAGGCTAAGAACATCGCACAGCAATGGAGCCAAATGACAGAAGTTGCACCATTTTTGGTGCAGAAGTTGCACAATTTTTGACTGGCATCATAACTGAACGCCAAACCACTTCTAACAGGTGAGCAAGAAGCCCCCCACTATTCCCAATTCATGGCTTCTTCATCCGCAGGTGCACCCACCCAGGTGCACACAGAAGCAGCAGACCCCGAAGCCAGCTCCTCCCCACCACAGTTGGATGTCCCGTACAGAGGAAGAATTCCCAACACCACCCACCAGGCAGTGAATCCACAGGACCAAGGCTTCTGTGCACGCTCCTCCGGCACCAGGTAGATACAGGCAGGCACACCCTGGTCTCACAGAGTCCCCACGAGGGCTCAGAGCAGGGCAGGAAGCACTTGGTGAAGCTGTGGGAACTTCCCAGGGTAGGCAGGTGCCTGAGGGAGCTGCCCAGGTAGAGACGGCAGCTGCAGCTTTATACGAAGCCCCTCCATGCTGCAATACACTAAGATGTTGCTGTCTTTTTGATATGTCTTACCTTAAATATTGAATGAATCATGTGGCTGGTTATTCTTCACCATCACATTCTAGACTCTGATCTCAAAAGGCTGCTCATACATCATGCAGCATAAAAGCTAATACGATTTCAGGAGGTGTAGTACATGGCCAAGGTCAGGAACATTTTCTCTCTGCTGGCACTTTCTAAGCACTTAACAAAAGCTTGTCTTAAACAAGAGGTTTGTTACGATAACGACAAAAAAGGCTACACCCCTGACCACCAATTGTATCTGTTTTAACTCATGCAGGCAATGATATTTAAGAATTGAGAAATCTAAGTTAGTGTACAATTAAGGGTTTAATTTGCACGGTTATTTGTCACTGCTACTCACACACATCAAGTGTTGCTTACAAACGGCCTGCTAAACATCCAGCCGTACAGACGGGTACAGGGCTTGTGCATGCCAATATTGTGCCGGGTTTGACTGCACAGCCACAGTCTCAAAGCGATGGGAAATAATGAACGTGCAGAAACCAGAATTCAAGTATTTAAATAATTCAGTGCTACAGTATCGAACCCCCAAGTTCTCTTTCACTTCTTCTAAAAAATTGCACCCAAGACAAAGGTCTTCTATTAAAATAAAGGTTTAGTAAGAAAAAGGTTGTAATTATAAATCTTTTCTTTTCCTAACAATGTTTTTTTTTTTTTTTTTTTTTTTTTTTTTAAGTAAATACTTGCAAATCAAGGAAAATGTTACTTTAATATTGGTAATTGCTATTAGCAATGCATTTACATATGCTGCTTGAGAAACAGTGGAACATGGCTAACCGTAACATTACCAAATAAAAACACATTTGGGGGGCATTTGAATGTTACCCTTCCTCATGAAATAAATTTTAAAAATAAATAAAACATACACTACTTTGCCCACACTGTAATTTGTCAACTGTTGAGGAAATTGGCATGTCTTTTCTGCTGATTTATTGGTTAATCCCAACAATTCATTGCAGAAAAGGCCAACAATGAATTACAATGTGAGGAAAAATTAACCAGTGCATTTAAAAAGTGCTTAACTATACAGCCCTGAAAGCAAATTTCAAAGCTCTCACAGACCTTGCTAAAATATTTTAGGTACCACTGCAGATATCTACAGTTACAGATAACACCACTGCAGACAGTAATTTAATAGTAACAAATATTCTCTGTCTTTTAAGTATTATACCTGTGTAATAGCCTTGCTAATATACTCTCCTAGATTTAATGTCCAGTGTTCAATAAACAAATAGTTCCTGGATCCCCAAAACATGAAAGGGACAGGAGATGTTATGTCAATTTAATAAGCACTGGGTACACTGGATATTTCTATATACAAACTACACAAATTACTTGATTTAAGCCAATAACTAATCCTGTTTATGATAATATAACAACTTCCTGCTCTTAGCATTAGACAGGTTTTGAAACTAAATATGTAACATATTTAATACCTATATCCATATACGACTACAAACTTTTAGACACCTTATTTTCACATAAAATCACCTGTATGCCTTTAAAAATATCAGCTGCAGATGATATGCATAAAATATTGGTAATCAGACTTTTCTTTCTCTTTGGCTTTACAGTGTAAGAAAAGGAAAATAAGAAACACCTTGAGCTGAAGTAACAGGGGCTGTACAATTAAACCATACTTGTTGCTTTTGGATATAATTCAGAGACGATTTACAGTCAATGGGAGTCTTTTGAAAAAGTACAAGAGGTTTGTAACAAACAAATTTCAAGGGTAAACCCACGCTGCGCAGTACAGCATTGTGCAGAAAAATACACCAGAGGCCACTCAGTTTGGATCTGGTTTACACCTTCAACTTCCACCCACCTTTTAGGTAGCACATCTAAACACAGTGGGCTCCACCTTCATTCCCACTGGGTCTTCTGTCCCCCATGGCTTGTTTTGGAGAGCTGTGCCAGAATCTCAATGGTTAGTTCTCAACCTAAATTCATTCAGAGCAAGATTACACACATTTGTTCTCCCACCAGATTTGCGTTAGTTTAATTATAGTTTCGGGGCATGCAAAGAATATGGTTGTATACGGGTTGCATACCTTAATTTTGGCCCGAAGTTATCTCCGTAGCAACTGTATCCTGAAGCCCTGTAATTAGGTCCTTAGTTGCAAATTTCATACTGTACCATGGAATTCCTTTAAATTGAGGTTCCAGAGCACTTTTTCCTCACAATTTTTCAGTCCAGTTAACTCGATTGATCTTTAATTAATCCGTTTCCCTAATTCTTCCCTTCTGAAATTACTTCAGTGTTTACGTTTCACCTTCCACCTAATTTAAACTGAATTGCTAGTGATCACTTACTTCAAAGTTAACATCTCCACATTCCCCATTCCTCACTAAATTTAAGTCTGAAGTATGACAGTCATGTGCTCGGCTCCATGCAATACGTGAAAAACTGAAGAACAAGCCTTCCAAGACAGAATTCATGCTCCTGCCTCTCTCAGGCACCCGGCCCTGCCTTTATTCTCCTGCCAAAAGTAAGCAAGCAAAGCTCATCATGGCCACCTACTCGTCAAGGCAGTGAACTCACCAGGGACTCAGTCAAGAGCAGCAGCCTGCTTAGCTACAAAACGTGGGCTCCAGGTGACCTTGTTGAGCAGCACTGCCTTGTCATCCCAGTTTGCACTCCCACATTTTGGCTCAGCAGTAGCAAGAAGAACAAATAGCAACGTGGAGGCATGCACAGGTGGAGTTTTTAGGTTACAGTAGACCTGCACTGCTGCCTACTGAGCAAGGCACGGCGGAGCATGGCAGGAAACAGAGGTGCACATTCAGGGGACTGGCATCTACTAACCAGCACTTCATCTCTTTCTAACATTTAGCCAGATGATTCTTCTGGCTGGGAAATACTTCTTTACTTCTTTTACTAAATACTTCTATAATACTTAGCCACTTCAGAGGCTCGTTAAAAGAAAAACAAAAATCAAAACTCCAGCTGATAATTTTTGCAGATTCTAGACTTATTTGTCTTTACGCTTGTTATTATTTGAACAAATTTCTACGTATGTGCCTTGCAACCTACCAGCAACTCTATAATGGAACTGGAGAACCCAGCAAGGCACAAATTCATAAAAATTATACTACATTATTTAGAATGAATATTCTAAACTAAGAAATAGCCATTCTGTTATTAACTCCACTTTGCACCCTTACTAGACAATTTAGAAATGTTTGAGCAATAAGAATAGAAGCTAGAAACCCTGATGACAAAAGGGCTACTTAAAAACAAAAGGAACCAAACCAAACAAACAACTCCCCTCCTACCCCAAACACAGAAAGTCTGGCACAAATTTTGGGTAGACCCAAGTCCACGGCACGTACCAGCAGCACCGACCACCTTTCAGGACGGGACAAGCAGGCATCGTCCCCATAGGCAGAGCATGCTGTGGGTACTGGAAGGCCTGCCAGGAAAAGCTGTCAAGAAACTTTCAAAGCTGCTGCTCCTAGGCTGAGTGTGCCAACAGGACATACAATATTCACGGCACTCGACCCAGCCTCCGTCGGTGTCAGATCACATCTGCCACTTGGATGGTGGGAGAGCTGTAAAAAGAGGCAGCGTTTTGCCACAAACCACTTCAGTCAAAGGAGGTCTATTGTTTTTGCAACTGCAGTGCAGACCTGAAGGCACTGAACTTTGTATGTTGGAGATCTCAAACATCTCTAGGCATCAGAAAGCGTAAGATCTCAGAACTTTGTCCAAACTGAGCCCCAAAGCCTTGCTGTCAGGGTACCACCTACTGCTGAGAGATCCGTGACACAGCCGCTTAAACACCAGTTAAAGCAAGTAGATCCTGCATCCAGTTTGCCATGGAGAGAGAAGTTAGGTTGCAAAAATAAAAACTCTCACAATTTGGTGAGTCTGCATACAAAAACCTGCAGCACTCGCATGCTGTAGCGGCTTCTCTGTGAAGCTCTTTAGATGCGTTAGCAGTTCAGTCATGAGACCAGTACACTTTGATCAGCATAGCAAAACACCGCAGAAAAATTATCAGATTCAGCTTCTTATGATAACACACAAAGCACGTTCACAACTGTGTGCAGCTGTTGTGATTTTTTAAAAGAAATTGTTCCCGAACAATTAAAAACTTTTATCTGTTGAATCTTTGATACAGTCACAAACTGCAAAATTTGGCGAAACATCACTTTGGCCAGGTATTTTTGCCTACTGCTGAAGAGGACTGTCATGCACGGTCCTTTCAAAACTCACAAACCAAAACCAAGCCAATACGCATACTAAAAATTGGAAACATTATTCCAAGTTATTCACTGGAAGACTTAATTTGGGCCACCCCAAGGCCACATGGGTCAAAACTGGTAGAGAATTTGTGTGAAACTCACCGTAACACACTTGGAGAGTGAAAAAACGTTTCTGAAGATCAATTTTCTGAACTGTCAGCGGACCTGTCAGCAGCATGCAGTAACAGCAACGCAAGGCCAGATGCAATATCTTTTTCTGCTTAGGAAAATCTGAACCTTCATTTCTCATTCCACAAGCCAAAACCATACACAGCGTCTGTGAATGCGATCTCAGCCTCTGCCGTTGATACTCCTTCAGTTAGTGCAAAATATGTAAATATTTACTGAGGAAAAAAAAAAAAAAGAAAAAGGCCTAAGAAAGTGACTGTACTGCCTGGTCTGCGAGTTAATTTTGTAAGATGCAGGTTCAACCGAGAAAAGACAGGAAGCAGCAGGGTGTTTTTGTGCTTATTTAAGTTGGAATTATATGCTTTGTTCACTTTCCCCTCCTTCATTTAGATAAGAAAGTAAATAGCCAAGATTTGCTTTGGCTCAAAAGCAAGTTTTCTGCCAGCTTCTTTTTTTTTTTTTTCTTCAACAGCTGACCTAAGACTTAAAAACAAGCAAACAAACAAAAAAACAACAAAAACACACCAATTATGTGCAGCTACTGAATTGTGACCGCATTCTGGAACCAACAGGATTATCAGGAGGAAGAGGCAGGAGCAGGAGGACCATCTGTTGGCAGACATTGTCTAGAAATTGGATGGGAACTATAACACCCCACCAACAAATGACATGCTAAGAAATCACAGCGGAGCACGTAGCCTCTGACAGGTTATTATCGGGAAGCATATTGACAGCTTATCAGCAGGCAATACCAATACTGCCCCAGGGGAACTGTGCTGTACTAAGTCAGGAAAGCCAGTGCAGTTGCTCTGAAGCAAGCAGATGATAGAGCAGATGAGAAACAGCGTGCACAGCAAGAGCTGGTAGCATGATAACCTACCTCCTCAGGGCACCAACCTCACCCGAGTGTGAACCGAGGAGATGCAGCTGAGAACTATCCGAGGGGATGAAGCAGCAACCTCAGAAAGGCATTTGGCTGCATCAGCACCACCTCGCAGAGAAGCTATCGCTCAGCAATTTTAAAAAAGGAATTTCGTAATGGAATGTATGACAGCAGCACACACGCTGCAAAAAGCATTTTTGTGTGGCAGTGAACTAAATTCACTTGCCAAACTGTATTTGCAACGTTCAGTGCCTCTGCATTGTACGTATGCACACATTCAGCTTTTAATCAAAGCGATGGCATTTGTGTTATGTTTATATATGCCCTATATAATGCTGTCATTTTGCAGAAATCCAATATTTGAGTGACATTATTAATTCAGATAATTACAAATTTATTTATTCAGTAGGAACAAAAGCCATCTCAATCTCCTTCCCACATTGCTCACACTCCTTAGCTGCATTTTATTTCTTATGCTGAGGATTTTATCACCTTTCCAGACTTGAGATTAACAGTTGCTGTTCAAGGCAATAGAAAGTTGTTTCCTTGGTCCTTATTCTGCTATTCCAAGGGAGTTTATGGGACCAAAAGCTCTGCTACCAGGTAGCTGGGATATCCCTGACCCCAGAGACAGTTGCAGAGGCTAGTTGAGCCAGCTCTGTGCCACACTTCAAACCTCTGCAAAAAATGCTGGTGCTCAGCAGCTTCAGAAAGGCCCCAGAGACGAGGAGGGAGGAAATGGTATGGCCAACACAAACCATGACAAGCAACTCCCAGCTGGGACACAGACCCTTGGCGATAGCAGGAGCTGGCTGAGGATGGCCCAGCTGTGTTATTCCAATACCTACAGTCTCCCCGGAGATGCTGCAGGATCAAGGATGGCAGAAAAAGTGTTTTGTAGCCACACATAGGGCACAGTTGAAGAATAATCCCACAGGGTGTATACGGTGCCCAAATTTATTCTGATTTTAATGCTTATTGATTTTATTATGCTGCTCTTACATGTTGTCTGGTAGCACTTTATAAATGTTTTATGTAAAATAAATAATTCAAGAAACACACAGCTTTCTTCAGTAAAGTTTATGACATCATGAGAGCTATTTTTTTGTTACTATACTGACTGCAATGATGAAAGAAATAGGAAAACCGGGATCTAGACATTTCAAACGTGACCATTTTCTAAATCACAGCTGCTTTTTGTGTTGCAGCAACTCTATGTTCAGGTCTTTATTAAACAGAGAATATAACACAATTCTGTCCCTTTCTGGTGCTTTTTAACATTTCTCCCCTCTGACTCTTGCTTACAAAATCATGTCCGTAAACAGACTGCAGCTTTCTGTATTTTAATGTTCCTTTGTCTGTATTTCCCCCTTATTTATTCTCTTTTTGTTTTGTCTTCATTACCTCTCGCATCATATCAAAGGGAAGAAGTGCAAACCAAGCTAAGAAAAGCCTCGCTTTTAACCTAATTGAATCGATTGACATCTGCTTTTTTAACACCCTTACGGTCAACTGCCATGAAAACAGTCAACCAGTCGTAATGGTTAAAATCAGATAGGCAAGTTTTTTCTAATAATGCTGCACCTGCCCTTACGTACCTCATACCTTTCACACCTACCAGCCAGTTCCTTTACCCCCCAGCAGAAGAACA